AACATGAAGTATTTTGTAATCTGATACTGCACTGTTCTTCATCATTATTGCTCTGCATTATTTTATTTATTGCATGCGGAATGTAAATTGTCGCTATTATCAATCTTCGTCACGTGTTATCAGTATCATATCGCTCTCTATTTTCGTAAGACAAGATAATAAAAATTTCTTAAAGTGAGGGTGAGGGTAGGAGTGACCAATCAATTTGGCGGACGTAATGTTCCTTTGTTAGTTCGCGGATAATTAATAGAATTATCGCATTATCCAGTTTTTCAATGTTCTCGAATGTCTGAGAGATTAATTTCGAGTTTTTAATAATAGAATTTCAATGTGTCTCGTGCAATTTCAAATCTGAGCGAGAGAATTAAATGAAATCAAAGAGGAAGAAGCACTTTGCCCTCCACCGTCGTTGGTTTTTCTTCTCTTCTTTTTTTTTTTTTTTTTCTTTTTACATATAAAACCGTCGAAATAAGCCACTGTAATCATTGACTGACCGATTGTGTCTCTCTGTATCTGTTCACCCTTAGTGGACTTGGACCAGCGCGTCGGCCGGTACCGTCTTCTGTCGGATGGAGGGATGATAGATCTTTTGTGAGCCCGTCGCCAATCACCCCTAATCATCTTTCGACTTCATTAATATTTAATAACTTTTCAGCCACACATACACACATTTACACACGAATGCGGACGTTGTGTTACGCGTCACGAAACCGACACCGCGTCAGAAAAACTACATTTCTACGCGTTCACCATTTACGTTTAAGATTTTGTACTTGAGTTAGTGTCTTGTAGGGCCAGAGAGAAAATAAGCCAACGTGATTTTTTTCTATAAAAAAAGGAAAAGAAAAAAGATATATCGAGAATTCGCTTTCTTGCCTTTCTTACGATTTAATGACGATAATGATTTTACACGATTTACACACGCGATAAAGAAGCATAGAGATTAGGTTTGCGAGTGATTATTGTTATGAATGCATGATATGGGATATGAGTGAAGAGAAAAAAGATAGGGGGGAAAATATGGGAGAAAAAAATGAGTAAGAAAGAGAGCGTGCGAGGGAGGCCGAATGATTGGAACGAAAGTATTTATTATCCGTAAGAATCTAATCAAAATTAACGTATTCACAGATTTACTAACAATATATTATTTATAATAAGCACATTTATTTGGGCTCTTTTTTTTGTTTTCCAAGTGATACCGTTTGTAAACACGTTGAACTCCCTTCATTCTGCATGGCATATTATGTTTTTCATATAATAATTGATACATAGACAATTTTTGTCATGTTCAAAGAATTTATCTTCTTATTTATTTTAAATGTTTACGAAAAATGTGTAAAAAAATGTGTTGAAAAATAATGTAGGAGATTCAGAAAAATTAATGAAGCGACTGAGATTTGATTCCTACAATAATTTTTTTATATTTATGAAATGCCTCAGCAAAATAGTTTACATTTATCTAGTTTATTCCAATATTTATTTTAAAAATATGTGTGGATATATATAAATTTTCGCACATTTTTAACATTAATTACTTAACTTCAATTCTAGATGAAAGTTAATCTTAATATTTAAATCAATTTTCCTCGATAATATTTTATTCTGATTAATACGAATACATTTTTTTTAATATATAAAAAAGGTGTAGATTCACCGAATTATGTCAAAAGTTGTTTACGTATGCAATAGTCTATTATCGAAATTTCTCTAAATGAAACTTTTATCGCTGAATATGCGATTCTTATATTTGTTATAAGTGAGCTTGTAAATTCTTGAATATTAAATTCGTGACGGACATATTTGTAACGCTATTTTTATCTAAAATGCGAAATGAAAAAAGATTATTATGAACTTCTAAGTATGCAATTATTCGAAACACACTTCAGCTGAAGCTATTCTACTTTCTATAATTACTTGTCAAAGCAAAAAAGCGAAAACTTCCAAGAGAACTTCCAAGCTCAACATCAATATAATATACGTACCTTATAATTTATTTCTCATCTTTTCTGCTTGCGAACCTGTGATTACAGTTTTCCTTCGTTAAAGAATAAAGAAGAAAAAAAAACAAATATATATAGCCAAATTTCAAAACGACGACAGATGTAAAAACATTACCATTAGAAAAAACAAACGGTCAAAAACGGATAAACGGGCTATATATATTATACATATATATGGCGTAGCGGAAATGCATGTTTATATATAAACTATATATAGACTGAGATGGAAGAAAAGAAAATGGGAAAATAACGCTGTAAAAAAAAAACGAATATTTTCATAAGAATAAATATCGTAAGTCAATAATAATAACGTCTAGAGAGAATATTGTATGGACTGCAATTGTCATCGTGATTTCTTCGCTGAAAGAACCGATTCTCATCGTATATATTCTTGCGAATCTCTCGCGGTTTATACACTCGCAACAAGCGAGCAAGATTCGCAGAATTTGTTGTGCTGATAGAGCTCAATATTGACTGGTAACAGACGTGTTTAACAGATCGAGAAACCTCATCAATTCTTAACATTCAAACATAGAATGCTCCAAACTCGTATTTTGTTCGAAATTTTCCAGCGAACTTAAACTCGATCTTTACTCGGCGAAAATTTTTATCGCTTTATTGCATTTCCTCGCACAGCTCTTCTAATTTTTACGTTTAAGTAAAATAATGTGTCTTTAAAAATAATATTTCACGTGTTCATCATACGCGGTTCTCGAGAATTAATTTCTATTTCTTCATCTTTATAATTACAATTTTTATTAAACTTTCATTTGCTAAATAGGATTTGTTATGTTCGTTAAAGAAACTTACAGCTGAAAAAAAATTATATTTCCAAAATATTCTATGTATCTAATATTAGACGAAATGTAAAAAGACATATTATTTTACGTGACATCTTTCGAAATTACTGTACCATAAACTTTAAAGGCAGTCTATTTTCAAATTCTTCTGTGTGATATCTTTTCAACGTTAAAAGTTTACACGATGCGTCATGCAAAAATGTACAAAAAGAAAAAAAAATGTTCATTATCCTTGAAATGTTCTTTCCACTTAATATTCAGCACTATTTCAGCATACGAAGTGCTTAATAAATGTGCAAGGATTCCTCGTTGTGGATCTTCCGTGAAGATCCTTGCGCGAATAAAAAGTTTATACAGTGAGCTTACATTGACATTCTCAACTTTTTTTCCGGCGCGATCCGTTTTTCCTTGATCCGTTAAATCGTCTCGTGTTGTGCATCGATAGATCACTCTAGTAACGTGTGTCTAGAACTATGACGTTCTAACACGACTATGAAACACACTGCGAAACCACCTGCCATGTCTCAGAAAAAAAAAGACACCGTCGCTGCACCTCTTCACGAATGCTGACTTTAATAAACTTCTGAGAATTGTGTGTGCGTATGTGCGCGTGTGTATGGGAGTGTAAGTGTGTGAGATATATCCGACATTTTTCATTTATATATACATCTGTCCAGCTTCGTGATACACATTTGGAAGCTGCGTGTCATTGTTGCATAATCTTCGAGAGAGACACACCGTTCGCGGGCGAACGCAATCGGCAAACGCTCGGCAATAGTCGACTTTTTCGATTAATAAAATATACAGATGGATTTTATTACGGCGGTATTTGGGAGAAATATTATTTAAATGGTACAGTGGGAATTTCATCAACTGGGACATTTTATACTCTTTATAAAGACGAATTGAAGTGATAGAAAAATAACTGCGACAGCGCGAGTTTGATTTCTTATAATACAGTTTAATTTCTTGATAATATATTCGTGATAATATATTTGATTCGTGACGCTTAATTCAACATTTTCAGAATTATTTTTATCGCTTCAAATAATGATTATATTGATATTTTAAGGTCGGTATGATATTATCGCATTTGGAAGTGCTATATCTTCATGACACATCTGTCTTTCTATTTCCAAGTAACAAAAAGACCCAATGATCAATTATCCTACTTTCAATATCAGATGATATTGATACATTGATTCGATTGGCATGATTAATTAATTATTAATTATTAATTAATTATTAATTATCAAGCGTTTATCAAGCGTTGATAATCCATGCAGTAACGCTTGATAAACGCTTGATAATTAGCAAGCTTTCATTGACATGAATTTTTCATTAATTTAAAAGGATTTATTGCTTTCTTTTGAAGTATTTCTTTTCGTAAAACGATGATACAAATGTTTTTACATGTAGCATTTGATTATAAATCAAAAGCTGCGGTCTAACCAAATTACGATAACGTTCAGAAATGTAAGGGCCTGCGCACAATGAAGCAAATATTAGGAACAGGAGTAAATATTAAATTTTGGAAATCAAAAATTTGGAATAAAAATTAAATGTAATGCACAATGAATATTAATAAGTATAAAATACATATCTTATACTTACTTGTATTTATTGTGCGTTACGTTTAATTTTTATTCTGAATTTTTATTTCTAAAATTTAATATTTATTCCTATTCCTAATATTTCCTCCATTAATACATTTCTGGAATCTGAAGATACAAAGAAATGTGCGGGACAAGAAATGTTTACGTGATCGTTTCTCTTTTGACAAAAACAATTTCTGATAAAGGTTAAAATAATTGTTAATAAAATACATTTCCGCGAAATTAATTTTTTTTATTATTGTAAACTCTTATAACTTTTTATTTAAGGAAATATGCATCTTTATTCATATAATTCAGATGAAAGAATGTTGAATTTTCTTACCTTCTCGAAAGTTTCGTCGTTCGAATTTTGTCTTCAATATTCTTCCGGAAATTCTCAAATGTAGTGGAAATATCTAGATGTAGTTTCTGAAGGGTCACTTACGGGTCGATGTATCATTTATTAATCGAAAAACGAGACTCATTTGGATTTGGAGAGAATTCTTTTTTATGCGAAATTCGAGGAAGAAGTAGACAATTGGGACATCCCGTTTGTCGCCGTCGACGAGGAGAGAATCAACGAAGCAGTTCTTTCATGACAAACAAATTCGTTGTACAAAAGTGCGTGTGAGAAAGAATGAGAAAATGGACGTTCCGATTATCTTGCTATATACCAGCGATTGTTACGTTTAAGTGAGTCTAAAGAGCAAACTCGGTGATACTTGTGGAAAGCGAGGAAAATCCCGTACTGAGTTTTCCGAATTCCCGCTGATCAATATGTACGTGTCATCTGCGAATTACGATAAAAGTGGCGTGACAAGCTTATTTTGAACATCGGTGTACGATTTAAAGTCGATTTTACTGAGAACAGAATGTACATACATGAATTCTATATACGCGCCCGCGTATTAACGATCGGTTTCTGTCATTCCTATTGTTGCACATAAAACTTTATGGTGACACCGTAAAGTACCATTATCACGATTCACGATTCTGCTATCTATTAAAAAGCGTCTATTTTGAGCGTTTGATTCAGAAAAAGGTGACATAATAGAGATGCGTTTTTGAGCAAATTAGAATTTTCGTTTAAAACAAATTCCGACCGTAACAGACATTTCTTACTTCAATTGGTGAATTTTATGAATAATATTTGCTAAAAAATATTTTATATTTTATTAATTAAAAAATATAGGATTTTGTTATTTATTTAAAAGTTTGATTCAACAAAATTGTTATCTTTAGATACAGTAGTATACAATTTTAAAAAGTTATCTAAAAAAGATCAATTTATTTTATACTGTGAATTTTTGATATTGTAGTATTACTAGTTCTTTTATTTTTTTATACGGCATAATTTTCGTTCATTTCTATTTGAATTAAAAAAAAGATGGCTCTTTCAAAGAATGTATGTCTTTCACCAAGTCACCAATTTTCTCTGGATTACGATCGTATAAAAATTCACGAACGCGAAAAATGGACGAAATCTTTCTCGTGCATTTTGTTACATGAACGCGTCTATTTGACATTCGGTCGTTTTACATCTACGCGATAAACGTATTTTTGTACTTTTGTCCTTATTGTTAAACGCATTATTGGACGCAGGTATGTATGCCATACCTCTCGATGCGTATAAATATATAAGATCTCATATTATATTATATACGAATATTAATTAACGATTAACGCGTGAATTACCCGTCACTTATCATTTAGAATGAAACAAACAAAATATGGATTAGAGGTCGGTTTAAGGGGCGATCCGATAATAAGGTACGTTCACTTCGCCGATTTTTTATATCGCACCAGACAAGTCGGTGTCGACGAGAGTAAAATTTGTCATAAAATTGTGAATATATACATACGTTAGTTACTGACAAATAAATGTTACACGATGCAGTTTGTGTAAGAATATCCCTGTTCGTGTTCTTTCGTACGAGCCGCATCTCTCCTCCGATTTACTTTCTCCGACAAGTAGATATTGTACAATACAATTACGAAAGAATACCTGTATCGAAAACTGCAAATTTATACCGTTGATCATTTCCAGAATTTATAAAGAGACTAAAGCGCGCACAAAACTCTAGAGTTATATTTTATCATATTTACGGATATATCTGTCTGCGTCTATATAAGCCTGTCCTTTGTCCGAGAAAACATGTTCGATATAACTTGTATTAATATTCCTGCCTTAACAACCCCATTGCGATCGCAAGCATTGACACTAATAACTATTGGTTGTCGGATCGAACTCTGCAATGAATGTAATAAAGGCATATGATTAAATCTCTTATCATTATTGCGAAATAAAATAATTATATAATCCATTTCTAGAGCATATCTCTCGAACTTACGAATTTAAAGTGGGTAATGTAAGTACGTACGTATGATGTCTTGTTATATTCTCTTTTTACAATCAGGTTCGTGGCGTTTGCCAGGGTAAGTTCAAGAGCAAAGAAATCTTTTTCGGAAAATTCATATTTTATACAAATAAAATGCAATATAATGAAACTTAATTCTTTGTGCGTGATTTTTCTCGAGCTCAACGCATTTTACCTATTTTTTTTTTTTTTATTCAACAATAAACTAGTCTTGATTTTCAATCGGTTTTTAACATCTTAAAACTTATCGAAACAAATATCTTTTTTCATAAAATGGAGAAAAAAAATATAAGAATTCGGAAAAAATGCGTTGAGATCTAGAGAACAAAAAGATAATATGAGCTTTATATTTTTTTTTACATCCTCGGACATGAATGTGTGCGTAAAAAGATTCGGTTTGTCTTTTTCTTTTTTCTTTTCTTTTCTTTTCTTTTTTTTTGTGTTTATCCTTGCTTCTTCATTTAAACGGCATTAGTTCGCACAGTCCCTCCTTCTCGCCC